ATTTTTGAAAGTCAGTAGTGTCAGGAAGTGAAAGGGAAGTATTTCTGGTAATTTCCACTCAAAAGCATATTGGGTCGTTTTCTAGCAAAACTGCTTACCGTTCTTTTGCTCTGTCTCTCATTCGGAATGTTTTGTATGTAGAAAGATAGAGAATTTTCTGCTCTTCAAAGTGAGCTGTAAAATAAGCTTTTAAATATGTCTATATAGGATAGCTGTTGAAATACTCGACAGATATAATGCTTTTCATCTCTCTAAAGGCTTTAAAAGAATATTTCCTCCACACATCTGCTAAGACTCGGAATGCTTTATATATCGGAAGATACAGACTTTTCTGGGTTCCAAAATGGACGAAAATATTTTGTTTTGAAAGTTTTCCTTTATAGATTTATTGGCTAAATAGTGGATCGATTTTTACTCATAGCAATACGTAAAAATGATTATAGTTTTTTTCACACATAGAAATCAGGAATAGGTTGTATGTAGAAAAATGCAGAATTGAAAGGGCTACAAAATAAGCTATTGTTGTTTCAAAGCTTAAGTTTTCATTCTCTTGTGCTTTTGCATTTGAGAAAGTAGAAAAGGAAGAGAAAAGATCTGCTGAAAAGAAGAACAATTACTTACTCAAGACGATTTCTGGGACTCAAATTTCGTAAGTGCCCCTATAACGTTTCTAAGAGAATGTTTCACCGTTACTCTGCATTTTCAACGTTAATGCTTTTGTACCGTCTGTTCATAGCTACTGTATAATAGAATAATCAGTGCGACTTCTAGATCCGCAGTAACACTAGTGAACACTACTGGGTCAAACTTAACTGCATCCGTTGCTGCTACTACAACGTCTAGTCGTAACCTAATTGGCACAACCGCTATTAGCCCATATAAAAAACACACTTTCTGTACATACATAATTTTAGCAATAAAAGCAGCATCAAATACGAACTGGCCATTAATCGTGGGACTTTCATTTGCAACACTATTGGTTCTTTTTGCATCCTGTTGTTGTCCCGCTTGTTGTTTCTATTGGATATGGTTCGTATTTCGTACTCTGTCTTCTCAGAAAATTCTTGAACATACTCTGCTCGATGGCTTCTAGTGGCCCTCCAGCAACACGTAGACGTCGGAAGAAGGAACAAGCCAAAATAAAAGCAAAATATGATTCATTATTTCATGATGACAGTCTTCAGGCAATAGATACTAACGACAATAAAGACCAACGGCAGTTTCGACTTTCAGGATCAATATTTAGCCACGCACACAACATCTATGATGATCACAACAGGTGCGTAAAACGTTTCTCCACAAAATGCTGCATTTTATTTTTCTCGTCACTTGTAAACGTCTTTTTTGAAACACATCAGAATATTGCGTTCATTCTGAATATGTATTTAGAACTTTCGCATGGCTTTTAGTTACGCAGATTTGACCTGGCGGTTGATGAAATGCTCTAATCTCCCTCTTATTTCAATTTCTGTTCCATTCTTTGGACATTTTGCACACTAATATTTGTTTTGTATTTTCGACCTTTGTTCACCTTTAGCAGGGACAGAAGTGCTACATATACAAGCAATAGAAATTCTGAAGTGGGGAATGTCCATGTTAAAAAACCATCCACACGAGTAACAACCACGAGAAGTCTTAGTAATATGGGAAGTCTGTTCAATAAACATTGTATATGGAAAATGGAAACATCTGATCAGGAAGAACATGATGATCGACCCTTTTCTGCTGAAGCTGCAAAAAAAAACAGATTGCGATATAGTCATGTCAGTGTTAGAAAATTGCTAAGCAAAACAGCTCGTACTCGAGTGACTAGCGTTGTACCACCAAAACACGGTAGAGCCGGTACCACAGTTCCATCATCGAATGATATGGCCGCTGATAATTTCCACTCTCCGTCGACTCTTTCGCTTAATGTCATCAAATTAAAACGTATAAAATTTCCAGTTACAGGTAATAGTGACTCAAACGGACGACGTACGGCGATTAATGTCAAGAGCCGACAACAATACAATAACACAGATTTTTCAAGGAATAAGAAAGATAGGGCGCCCACTGCCACGGTCATTAAACTACCAAGTGTTAAATCAGTTGTTGCTGCTCCTGATGTTCCTGTTCCCGATTTACCATTGTCAATTTCCACATAATATCAATATACGACACTATTCTTTAGCCGAGTTACAATTTCTGAAACGGATATTCTCCAACACTGCACAGTGGGCATTTTTTGCTAGAGCAAGCGGACTTTAGCTTTATGAGTGAACTAAAATTTCATGAACCATCTTTTTATAGGTTTTTCATGATCCTCTTTCTAATGGCATGAGAGTTGGGTTTT